TTCAATACAATATTTGTTGGTTTTTAGCAGGCCGTCATTTTTGACCTGGAACACCACAAGTGTTATAGTTTTTTTTGTAATGCTTTTATTTTGTATAAAATGGCACAAAGTCACACTTGTAGTGTTCCCAGTCAAAACTGGCAGGCCTACAAAAAATAGCTAAAATATCTTGTTATGCTTTTTTATCACCAAATATTGATTTAATCTTTTTGTCAACTTGTTTTCTTTTAATTAGGACCGGATTTGCATTTATCTTTCAAACTGATTTGAACCTTTTAACCTTGAAGGGTTAAACAAATCCTAGTTTAGAAAGACAGCATGGTTGCATGTGGTTACATTTCCATCTGCAGTCCCACTGCGATGAACCATTTACATGTTCAGAGAGCAAAACATTTGCAGATGAAAAGAGGCTGAAAGCTCTTCAGAAAACCCATTCAAATGAATGTCTTTAAATGTGGGACGAGTGAAAGAGCTTTCCTCTGGGAACAGGGACAAATACACACAGGAAAGGTCCCTTTGTGCACAATGTGGAAAATGACACAGGCTTCAAACTTAGTCAACTCTACACACACACACACACACACACACACACACACACACACACACACACACACACACACACAAAACAAGAAAATGATCAGTTGATTACCACATATGCATTATAAAACAAACACAGGAGAGATGTTTTGTTTTATACAATCATTCAAATGAAAGCTGATTATTATAAATTATGACTGCCTATACTTTACTTTCATTTCATGAATTGCAATCTAATTCAAAAATAAATATGAATGTGCATTTCGCTTACTTTCACACCATTTCTGCTTTATGAGAATTTACAAATTTGCATTTCCTGGAAAACAGACACCACATGCAAGTAAACATACATGTTATAAGGCTTAGCAATGCAATCCATCGAAAGGTGAAAGTTTACTATTCAATTTGACGAAGTAGTCAAACTGATAAGTATTTGTTCATTCATTTTCAAGATGAGAGTCTGAGATGTCCACAATATCCATTCTGTGATGAGAATTAAAATGTGCTGCTGATCTTAAAAGTAAAAAGTACTCAAACAGAACAGAAACCAGTTAAAAACGTTATGATTTGTGATCATCACAGTGTTTCCCCCCTTCTGAACCTTTATGCAGTTCTCTCGCATTGTACAGTTTTAATGTGTGTGCGTGTGAATCGAGTCACTGTGTCCTCGGGCAGGAAAGTCTGGCGCTGCTGCTAATGACCTGTGCAACCACAGGAGAAACCATGCATGTGTCCCCACTGCGTACAACCTCTCGCTGCTGTGCAACTGCATCACTTATACGTGGATTAGGAGAACTTTTCTTACAGATTACAATTCAATATGTGAAAAATTCGCATTTTATGTTACCACTTTCATGTCCATAGAGGTTAGAGACCATACAGTTGCCCCAAACATGCTCATAGCCTAATAGTAATGTTTATCTACCTCTATAATATAGGCATGCTGCTTTTTATATTAATATAACGTTACTACTAGTTTGTTTACTAACTTACTAGTAGGCTAGGCTAATTAATTGCTAAATGGAAGCACAATTTTTAAGAGGGAGGGTCGTTGCCTCCGTGAAGTGCATTAAAATCGTTAAATGCACTGCTAGTCATGGATTATCCCGTTTATACCAGGGTAATTTGCCAGCATTGACAACTTTAAACTGTTATTGATGTTTTGCAGCGCAATATTGGACCGGAAAGGTAAAATTAACGGTTATTTTCGTCAGGCTTGTTAGATCTAGCATCCTGCCTGCACAGAGATAAAGTAGTGCGTAAGATTACATTTATTTTAATGAATGAATTATGTTGGATTCGGAATATGAGAGAGAGAGAGAGAGAGAGAGAGAGAGAGAGAGAGAGAGAGAGAGAGAGAGAGAGAGAGAGAGAGAGAGAGAGAGAGAGAGAGAGAGAGAGAGTGATGCGTACCTGCTTCTGTTGATCGTCTCTCGAATCGATAACGAAGCTGTGAGTTTCAAAATGGCGATGTAACCCTCTCGTTGCTGAGAAATATTGTAGAGATTCAGCAGCGAAGCTATTTCATTATTAAAAGTCACGGGTGAGCGTTAATACGTTTTTGTGTCCCTGAATGTTTCTGTGAGAGAGAAGCTCGAAAATAGCGCATTAATATCACGGTGATTCGACTGACTTTGAAACTACCTGAGCACTAAACGGTTTTATTGCACACCTTCCAGCCAATCAGAATCGAGTATTCAGACAGACCATGGTATAAAGTTTTAATTATTAAATTAAACATCACCTTTTCTTTGCCACTGTCATCATCATCACCAAACTGAACTTTTCAAACATGTTTCCGAAACACTCCCCATCTGCATAGGCAAAGTTTTTAGTCAAATAGGTTATGTAAAACATTACAAAAGCAAATTTAACTTCTTGTGACACATCATTGAATGAAATTTGAAGCTGATGGATTTCATACTCCCTGACTGGATTACAAACGTTTAACTTTGATTCACCTAAGGAGCGTTTTAACATGCAATCTAACATGAGGTCCGTCTTCGCCCTACGCCGTCTGAGAAAGCAATGCAGTGCAAACACAGGATCTACACTTCATTTAAAACAATTTAATCTTTACATATTTGTCTTTTAATGTACAATCAAACCATCAATCATAGGTAAAATTCTCCATATTGTACAACTCTAGCACTAGTATAAATAAAAAAAAATGAGATCAATATATAACAACTTGTTTTCTTCATTGATTAACAGAGGAACATCAAGGGTTAATGAGAACACAGAGGCCCCGCCCACACCTACACGTCACTCAGAGGGGAAGGGTCACCATGGGAACAAAGCAAAAGGACATAACTTCACCAAATCTGTAACAAGACAACACTTCGGCCTTGTTTTGGAAAAATGACATGCTAATATGCAATTTAAAAATTTAATTTCAGGAAAACAGATGATGTAGTGCAACTGGTAGGTTAGAATATGCAGTTCGACAGAGAGAACGGGGCACAGCAATGGTTACCACAAGAGTCAAATCTGCGCAAAACTGTGCCATGTATTTCCTGAAAAACAAAAACAAACTGGAGGAGCCAACAGCAGTTATCACACATGAACTAGAGCTCGATTCCTAACAGTCACATCTCATCATCATCATCATCGCTTTACCAGTGCCAATAAGAAACTGTGCAGTCGTGCCCCAATCTGAAGGCTTTGGCATCTCCAAAAACATTCCAGTTGGTTTATAAGCAGCCTGTATTTACATGTTTTATATTCTCAATAAAAAAAAAATTCAAAATCATTCCAAAATTAGAAGAAAAATCATGTAGCATAATGAAGCCTGCTTTTTGGACCACTTATGTCATATGCATTTTGACATTGACAATTTGGCGTATTAGAGACACAATTAATTTATTTACACAACTTATGCACAAATCAAGATGGTTATTTTAATTTCAGTAATAAGAACAAGATTTTCTTGGATTTGTGGGTAAAATATGCTTTTCTGTCATGAAAATTGGTCAAAATGCAAAATGTTAATGGTCTCAAAACAGGCTTCATTGTTTTTATGCAAATTGTTGTTGTTGTTGTTTTTTTGGGGGGGGGGGGGGGGGGGGGGGTGAAATATATGGAGGCTTGGTTTCATCACAGAATAAAAAATAAACAAGGTCGTCATTGCAACTAATCTCTATAAACTCACAATTCTGAGAAAAACCTTTTTCCCCTCGGGAATGGGACTTTATAACACACAATTGTGAGGAAAAAAGTCAGAATTACGAGAAAAATGGGCGGATTTGCGAGAAAAAAAGGCAGAATTGTGAGATAAGAACTCAGAATTCCCTTTTTATTTTTTATTCAGTGGCAGAAACAAGCTTTCATAGAAATACAACCTGGGCATTTCTTTCTGAGATTAATAATTTAGGCTTTTCTTGGCCGTCAAATGCGTACATATATATATATATATATATATATATATAAAATGTGTGATTTTATGGTTTAATTTCAGGGCCTTCAAACATTTAATTAGTTATGAATGGATGAACAGCAGTAGAGACCATTATAATCACAATAATGAAATATGAACATACAGAGAATAGTGATTTTTGTAACTGCACCGGAGCCAACATTTACCAATTTGAACATTAATGCTTGTTTGCAAACTTAAAAAAACAGTTGGTCAAGTCACATTTTTTATTTTCAAACTATTAGAGTTAGTTGCGAAACATTTAAATATAGTAGCCAGGATAGCAGCTGTAAAAGAAAAGTCTTTGTTTTTCATTCCCAGTTACCAAAAGCACAAATCTTCATGAAGACGTTGGTTGGCTCATTGACTACAGTCCCATTGCACTTCAGACTGGCCGTCGTAGTGCCGAGGATGAAGACGATGAATGAAGACGAGTTTCACCCTGTTCTCCTCCAACGTCCTCTCGCTAGGTAGCGCATTTCCTACGTTTGTATTTTTTGATCATCTCGCAATATTGAATACTCATAAAAACCACTTGCATTGGCGACGCATCCACACGTACGGGACGCTGGACATCTCTTGTCCAGCTTAACGGTATCAGATCCCGACTGGAATGTTGTGGTGCGTTCGAACACGATCTCTTTCCCGGATCTCTCTCCCACACACACACACACACACAACAGGTAAACAATGTTATAGAGTCCATTTTGGGGTGTTTTGGGTCCCGGCGGTGAAGGTCCCTCCTCGCATTTCGAGCGGTTCATCTTGACCTTTCACCTCATTAGGACACGTTTTCTCAGGCTTGAGGCGAAGAGGTCAAATAAGCAGGACCCGAAGGCCGAAGTTAAGGTGTCTTGACCGCGGGGGTGGATGTTTTTTTTTTGCATGCGCGTGTGAGAGTTAGTGTTAGCGTTCCTCCGAGACTGGAGCTTTTCCCAAGAAGCTTCCTCGAAAGTCTCCTTCTGGAGTCTTGTGCAAGTAACCCCAAATCTAGGTTTGGGTCCCATCTGGCAGAGTGTTTACTGGGGCGGTTTAGGGAACCATAGGGGCGTGTGGTCAGAGGGATGGATTGTCCAGTAAACGGGCCTCCTCTTCGCTCTCATCTTCCTCGTTTCGGGAAGAGGAGGATGCTAGTTGAACATTATGGACTCGGGATCTTGGTTTGCCATCTGGGCCATGTGACGGAGGATATCTTTTTTTGTAATAACACCAAGGAGGCGCCTACGAAAAGAGAGACAGAGAAATTTACCATGTGCATTTGTGACAAGTGCGGAGAGAGCTGACATCTTTTTCTGTTGCCAAGTTTCGCAGGAGATTTTTGTACAATGGCTTGAATTGGCGTTCAGAATCAAATCTTTGCTCTAATTTGTGACTCCTCCAACCCTCGGTCTTGGCAACAGACAGCTGACAGTCTCTGGTTTGAAGAAGGGCAGAGAGTGTGGAAGGTTACGCCGTGTTACTCAGGGCGGGAAACGCTACGTTATTTCTACGAGCCGACAGCACCTACAACAGCGAGAAGCAAGTGTTGCGAAACAGAAGTGAAACCGAGTGAGTGAACGCCTCCATCTCATCCACACACTCTGGCCTTGGTGAACAAGAAAGTGAAGTTAATTTTCCAACACAAATTCAAGAGCATATTTAAAGGATGCACTTTATTAGTTCACAGTGTTGGGGAACGTCACTTGAAAAGTAGCATTGCGATATGACTTTTCTAGTTTTGCGTTACATCACGTTATTCATAATGATAGTACATATAATAATACTCATAATATTAGTAAATAAAGTCAGTTTTGAAGTGTTAGATCACTCATTTGCAGCAAAGACAATGTCGTGTTCGATGTAACTCCGTTACAGTAGTGTTACAATACTCCGACTAAAGTATTACTTTATTAAAAAACCAATTCATTACAAGAACACTTTAATACAGTAATTATGTATGTAAAAAGCATTTAAAAGTAGCTTGTGTCAATTTAAAAAAGTAACGCAATATTTAGTGTAATTAACAGCCTGTTACTTCTAAAACAATGTGATCATGTAACATGTTATTTGTAACACTTTACCGGCAACTGTAAAGTATTAAAAACATTACAAAAATGTAAACATTACGAAAAAAGTATTTAAAAAACAATATTTACACCACATTGCTACATTTCCACTGCTTTTGTATATTTAGTGGTGTAAATGTGTATAAAAATAACTAAAGTCAATTTAAAAAAAAGTAACAATATTTTGCGTAACTAACAGCCAGTTGCTTATAAAAACTATGTGATTGTGTAACGTGTTACTTGTAACACTTTGTTTTTCTAAATGAATAAGGTAAACAAACACTAATTTCTCTTTGGAAATATAGGCGTTCAATAGACAAAGTGATATTATTATTATTTATTAAACCTTTATTTAACCAGGAAGAGACTCGTTGAGATTAAAAAGCTCTTTTTCAAGAGATATTACCGCATTACAGTAAGTGTTACGTTACTCAAAATATTAAAACAAATTACTAAATGTAAACATTATTAAAAAAACAATTAACTACACCACATTGTTACTTTTCCACTGCTTTTGTATGTTTATTAGTGTAAAAGTGTATAAAAATAACGTGGGCATTTAGTGTGAATTTAAACAAAGTAACTCGATACTTTTAGAAGTAACAGGCTGCGAGTCATATCGTGATTATGAAACATTATTTGTAACGCTTTACCTCCAACACTGTTGTGTTTTTCCTCCAGATGGATACTCAAACCCTCATTTCTCTTGACGAACTTTCGAAATGTGGCTGTTCGACAAACACTTTCACTTTAAATACGCTCTTGATTTTGCTTTCGAAAAAAGGGAGTTAAGCTTGATGACAGATTGTATCACAGATAAAAGGTGTGACAATTTTGACGAGAGCCGGAAATGCGAGAATCCATCCAAACTAGAGGCATGAAACGCTCGTGAAACGATTGTCAAACCTTTGTGAAATGCTTGTGAGATGTCAGCGGACAGGAAGAAAGTGGAAACCAGACAACTGAAAGAGGACAGGTGAGGACTTTTTTTGGTTTAGGGGACAGGTACTGCTGACTACATACTACAGGAACTGCTACCATTCTGGAGTCACATGGTAATAACACAGCATCCTAGTGACAGCTACTGTGACTACAAAGATGAAGAGATAATAAATGATCTGGTGAATGAGAAAATAGTCCGCTGCACACGACAGTTACTCGCCAATCGTGTCGGGGCGGAGCTGCGCGGGGGGTCAGATGTCATCGATCTGTAGCCCAGCGGACGCAGACCAGGCAACCCCCGGGAGGAGGAATTTAGCATTAAGCAACAAAGGAAAACAAACAGAAATCAAATTTAGATGAAGGACATCACGGCATGTGTATTAGATGTGCTCAGTGAGTACACGTGCACAATGCAGAAGTGAAAGGGGAGGTGCGTTTCTAAGACACCACGGCTAATGTGACAGACTACTCTTCCCTGCTGGGATGGCCGAGGACAGGAGCAACAATCTGAGTGAAAGCAGGTCTTACAAGAGGCATGATGTCTGCAGAGGAGGAACGTCCGGGAAGCGAGGGTCCAAAATGTAACCGCGTTCAACATGGGTCGCGGGCCGCATTTACACTGCAGGTCTTGATGCCCAATTCCCATTTGTAGACTAGATCCTTATTTTTTTGACGACCAGCTTACATCTTTTAAAACCGCCCCATATCTGATGTCTGCATTTATACCATGGTCTGGGTGAATACTCGATTCTGATTGGCTGCAGGGTGCCCATTAAAAAGTAAAAGAGGACACCTAGTAAAGGAGTTCTGGTGAAACTGACTGTTTACCATTCGAAATTAATAAATAAATGCGCTGCGAGTAACCATAGCAACAGGCAGTCAAAGTATCTGTTTACAATTTATTGTATCAAAACAAACATCTAGTTAGCCGTTATGAGCGGACTATAAATATCTCCGGTTGCTAAATAAACCGTCAGGCGTAACCAGGGAAACCAAGTTATTGTTTGTAAAAACTTTCGAAAACTAATTCAAATATAAACTTATGTTTTAAAAATGTGTTATTTGGCAAGTGACCATGGTATAAGCGGGTTAATGCCCTTCGAGGTGTCCATTGCCTTGCTGTCGTCCATTAATACCTGACAATGGACACCTCGAAGGGCATTAACCCTTACTTAGACTATAAACTTGGCGAATCAACCCATGTTAGACGTACTGACCCGGAAAAGGCCGAAAAGGAAGTAAAAACGGCACGATTTACAATGGATGCAGACGAAATTATACAAGCATTTGCTTTCTCGCACCATCTTTAAAGGGCAGCAAAATATTAGGTGGAGTTTTTATCCTCCATTGAGAGCCTAAGCCCCTCCCCTTCCGGTCGACCACCATGGGACCTTATTTCGGAAAAATATTGTATGGTAGTCAATGGTGATCTCGTTTGAATTGTGCCCTGAATTACACATATGATGTTTGTCAATTTAAAAGATACATTTTAAAGTCAAGAAAGTCGCAATTTGATGTAAAACTGTTGAGGTATAAGACTGCGAAAATACGAAATTACAAAGACTACAAACCCCAAAGGCACACATGTGACGTCATACCTTTTCTCTCAATGAATGAAGCTAACTTTACTGAAGCTAACTTTACTGAAGCTAACTTTACTGAAGCTAACTTTACTGAAGCTAACTTTACTGAAGCAAACTTTACTGAAGCTAACTTTACTGACGCTAACTTTACTGACGCTAACTTTACTGACGCTAACTTTACTGACGCTAACTTTACTGAAGCTTGAAGCTAACTTTACTGAGGCTAACTTTACTGAGGCTAACTTTACTGAGGCTAACTTTACTGAGGCTAACTTTACTGAGGCTAACTTTACTGAGGCTAACTTTACTGAGGCTAACTTTACTGAAGCTAACTTTACTGAAGCCAACTTTACTGACGCTAACTTTACTGAAGCTAACTTTACTGAAGCCAACTTTACTGAAGCTAACTTTACTGAGGCTAACTTTACTGAAGCCAACTTTACTGAAGCTAACTTTACTGAGGCTAACTTTACTGAAGCTAACTTTACTGAAACTAGCTTTACTGAAGCTAACTTTACTGAAGCCAACTTTACTGAAGCCAACTTTACTGAAGCTAACTTTACTGACGCTAACTTTACTGAAGCTAACTTTACTGAAGCCAACTTTACTGAAGCTAACTTTACTGAGGCTAACTTTACCGACGCTAACTTTACTGAGGCTAACTTTACTGACGCTAACTTTACTGAGGCTAACTTTACCGACGCTAACTTTACTGAGGCTAACTTTACTGAAACTAGCTTTACTGAAGCTAACTTTACTGAAGCCAACTTTACTGACGCTAACTTTACTGAAGCTAACTTTACTGAGGCTAACTTTACTGAAGCTAGCTTTACTGAGGCTAACTTTACTGAAGCTAGCTTTACTGAGGCTAACTTTACTGAAGCTAGCTTTACTGAAGCTAACTTTACTGAAGCTAACGTCTGCCATTGTTTCTATAGTCTTGCGTTATAATCGTAACGTTACGCCGTCATGCCTGAGTGTTTTGTACCAGACTGCACACACACGAGCAGCGGATCTCGCTCGTTTCGCTTCCCGGGAGATGTAGTTCATCGAGCGATTTTCACATAAAACTAAATGTTACTCTTCCGTTTCATGACAAACTGCGACTTTCTTGACTTTCATAATTATCTTTTAACTTGAGAAACATCATATGTGTAATTCAGGGCACAGTTCAGACGGAATAAAAACACAAGTTGACTACCATACATATTTTTTCCGAAATAAGCTCACATGAGCCGGAAGTGGAGGGGAGGGGCTTAGGCTCTCTATTTTGCCATTGAAGAGAGTCATGTGATCACGCTTGGTGTCCACCTGAGTTGACATCATTCGTTTAATCCCACATATGAATGAGGCCTGAAACCGATCTGAGAATATCAGAATCCATGTGCTTTTTTCCTGCTTACACGTTTGTAGGTTATATCAGATCTGTGCCAGAAATAAAAAATAAATAAAAAAAATCGGAATTGGGTCACTTGAACCAAGCAATGTAAATGAGGCCATATACTAACTTCACTTAGGTCAACGTTGTTTAAAAACATAATGAATGACATTAACATGAAATGAATGGCGACCCTATTTAACTTTGTTAATGGAGAGAACGTTACTGGTCACAAATTAATTGGAGCAAAGGGTCTTGGTAATCTTTACCAAA